TATGCTCTTGCATATTCAAAATTTTTCATCTTAAAATTGCTAACTGGTCACCGATTGAACCAACACAATAAATGCTCACAATGAAAATTCATAGTTCTTTTGTGCACAGGTTTGAAATTCATAGGTGTTGTCTGTGCACATCTGCACTTTCCAAGGTGAAAGCATCGATTTCATGTTGGTTTTTTATGGATGAAGCCACAGTACTTTAACTTTGCACCATGGCAACAGCGTGGTTTCCACAAGCTATAAACAACAAGACTTAAATCATGGAATTCAAGAGTAAAGGAGGAAAGGGTAATGTGTACCAGAATATTGATGGGTTGGTCAATGGGGCCTTTGGCAACAATGTACTCGATACCAGTCTCATACACGTCCATAGGTCGGCGGTATTTAAAGACGGTGCCTGCTGCATGGAAATTCTGTGGGCTGTCCACCTTGTAGTCACCGTTAAAGAAGAAGTTTCCTGCCTGATCAGTCACAGCTTTAGGGGGGGGAAGCAGAATTAAGAGAACTTTAAAACAGTTCTTTGCTTTCTTTTTACACACTGCAATAATCTTTGTGTGTGTGCATGGGGGGGGTGTGTACCGAGAACATCAGCCAATTTCTTCCTCTCGATGATCTGTATGTCCCAGGAGCCTTCAGGGATTTGAGTTATAAAAGAGTAACCTGCATGACAGCAAAGAGAAAGTCATCAGCAACATGGCATGCTCTTTGTTTATTTAACAGTAATGACAGATCGGTCAGTTTTTAATTCAGTGTCTGGCCCTGTCCTAGTTATATTAGGCCATGCTACACTGTAATAATAGTTTTTGAATATGCATTAGGTAACTGAGCTGCGAGGTTTACCCAGAGTCGAGGGTCCTCGACGGAAGTTTCCCGTGACTCGGCTGCAGCTGCTGCCGTCACCCTGACAGACACCACACTTATCCAAAGTGTTGGAGGAGAATAGCACCCCATCGCATCCAATTGGCTGAGCAGCAAGGCAAGATGTGGGAGTACAGAAGACAAAGAATCGTACTAAACATGTGATAATAATTAGCTCGCTTAATACCACAATCGTTTTGGGAAGGTTATCCAGAAGAATTTACTGTGCACAAAAGTATCGTGTGTAAAAATGGTGCTACTGAAAGATTTAGCTTCTTCATGTTTTGTTTTATCTACACATTGTAACTCTTGGGGATTTTCCAATTATTGTCTCAACCTTAATGAGAAAAAAAACATAGTTCCTCATGCTGCATTGAAGGTGTCTGTATCTTTATTGTACTGCATCGAAACAATGTTTCAAAGCAATGTAAAACCTGTACTTCCTGAAGTGTCCGCTTGAGGCTGGCTCCAAATCCCCACAGATCTTAACATACCTAACTTTGGCTATGTGATTAACACATTTACAGTCTGAAACAAAATACTATAGCTAATTTCCGCCCTGTTCTCTTCCACTTATCCAGTGCAGGGTCACGAGGGTGCTAGGAACTATCCACGCTGCCATAGAGCGAGAGGCAAAGTACACCCTGGCAATTTAACCGAATCCCACCAATTACATGCTTTTGGACTATGGGAGGAGGCCAGAGGACGCAGAGAGAACCGACATAAACACCAAGAAATATGTGACCTCCGCATCCTCCAGATGATGGATTTGAACCCAGCACTCTCTTGGTGTAATGTTCATTATAGAGTGCAGAAACCAACAACTGATGTGATGCTACATCCTTTATATACAGTCAGTCGACAGACACGTTTTGCAGTGTGGCTCGGCAATAAATACAAATAATGTTGTGTTAAATGTGATTGGGAGACATTAGCATTTAGTGATGCCAAATAAATAAGAAGCTGGACTCACCTCACACTTACCGTCCACGCAGACGCCGCGGTAGCTGCTGTACTTGCAGGACGTGCCGTCTCGTGCCATTACCATCAGCTGCCTCTGGCCGTCGGTCGTGGTGCAGTGGAGGTCACAGGGATTGCTGGAGATATGAACGTAGTCATCTGGAGACAAATGGTAGATGTTTTTCACTGTTTTATACCCACTTAAATTCGCAAGGTCAGAGTGCATACTGCATGTTCTTAATAACTTCCGGCAATGTTATACAATTATTCTTTAGCCACAACTGTTCATTTCTTTACTACTGTACTCACACTGCATCATAGTGGTACAAATATATGCTGGTATATCCCAGTATGATGTATGTAAATAATATACAACTATTTCAATTATAGTTTCATTATGAGGACTCAAAGCAACATCAGCTCTCTCTGGTTTTGTAACCTGATGAATCTAAGTAATACTTTTACTCCTTTTTTCTCACGTTTGGTTTCCATTAATCAATAATAATAAAAAACGCAAATTGGATTCTTTAACTAGCCCTCAACAATTAGTCATGAATTTATCTGCCGTCATACTGTTCATATCCTGGTTTCAAGTTCTCACGTTTCCTGTTTTATTTTGAAACATCTCAAACTGTTTTCATTCTTGTTAATTTTGCTGCTACTTCCCAAGCCTGCCTCAGTCCTGCTGTAGTAAGTCTGAGACTGTCTATTGCGTTACCCTCTGTTCCAATAAATTAGGCCGTGCCTGTTAGATCCTACAAGGCCATTATAAAAGTAGCTTTTTTGAAGGAAATGCTAAGGCATCCCAAATGTGCATTATTTTTAAACACCACCAGAGGGCGATAGCTCAAGTTGGAAAAACACTACTGGTCCTATAGGAGTCTTTAGGAAAACGGCCCTTTGCTGCTAAGTTTATGGGCTCAGTGACTCATTTCAGGTCATATGAATAAAACATCAAGTCCATTTTATAAATCTTGGTCATTCTAAGTTTCAGTATGCTCCACCCCTAAATCACATCCAGGTTCAAAACACCAGGATGCCAACTGCGGCAATGTCACGTCTTTTTCAGTGTCTGCTGGTCCCACCTCAGCTACAGTAACTGATCTGAGTTGGAACTCTTGTCCGCTCTTTCAGGAGCATTTTCATGGCTGGTGTGATGAATTTTCAGATGTGCTGCAGTTTCAGTGAAGAAATTCTGTGATTTTGTTTATTAAAATGCTTCGTAGCACTAATTGGCCAGTGTCTGTGTGACGGTCCCATGCAGTCTATAAATGCACTAACAAAGATAGCATTGACTAATGCCTTAGCACTTGACCTGGTCATCCACTATCAGCACATTAAAATCAAAGAGGCCGAGTCCATCTTTTATATGCAGTTAAAACCACTTCATCAGAAGATATACAAAGTTTGTTACTTTGGTTTCTGGTTGTGTTGAAGACTAGCAGGTCATAGAGAAGTATTCCCTCATCACTGCAATATTTAAAGAGAGGCTGTCAAGGTTTTTTATTGGTGTTATTACCAGGATATAGAGGTTTCCACTGATAGTTCCTCCCATTATAACGTTGTGAGTTAAAGGACCAACATTGCTCCTCTCTGAAGCTCCTCCCAGTGGGAGGACATTCCTGCAGAGAAGCAACACAACACAGACCATTTAAAGAGGTTTGTTTCACACTTGTTAATGTGTGGTTTTACGGTATGCTATACAAATAAATTCTTGTTAAGCCTTTATTTGTGCAGAGGTGGTTTCTCAGAGTACACTGTTGGGAACTCCACCCAGCTCCATGACAGCCATCCTGTTCAGTCAGCCGGTCAAATCCACTGTGTTTGTTTTAATAAAGGTGTGAGACAAAAATGAACTGGAAGTGTGTGACTCACTTTGGTGTTGCAGAGATGATATTTCTTAGCAGTTCCCGTACAGGTCATGTTGTCCTTCCCAGCAGCAGCTTTCTTTCTTTGGACCGAAAACAAACATTGAATGAAAAAAAATAAGGCAATAAAAATCATACTGAGTAGAAAACACAGTAGAAATATATCAGCATTGTTCATGTCTGTTAGCTAAGCATAAGTACATTTCACCCCAAACTTATCACTCTAAACTGAGAGACTATATAGTAGGTAGCATTGAAAGGTCCTACTCAATATGAACCTATGTAGGTCTTTTATTGGAGTATATACACTTCATTGGGTACACCTTGATGGGGAAGAGATTTGGGCCCATATTGACATGGTAGCATCAAAGAATAGCTTCATATTTGTTGTCAAAGGAAAGCAAAGAAAAGCGTCTGGACTTCTTTAAGTTGCTTGAAGA